ACATCGTTAATCATATTAATGATATTTAAAAAATTAGTGTTTCCCTTTGTTTTGTAGCTTTCAATAAATATTGACAAAGTTTCTGAATATTTTTAAATTATATGCACAAAAAGTTGAATTAGTTTTTTATGATAATATAAAGGCTTAAGATATTTTTTACGTAAATCAGAAAATGCCGGGCAAAACAAAGTGAAATTCATCTTCTACTTCTTTCATCTTACAAAATAAACATTTGCGTTCATTTTGGGGTAGGTTTTTATACCTTCTATTTTCAATATTCAAAGAATGTGCAGAACTTCGATATTTACATAACAGAGACTTTTCTTTGTATATGTCAATATCTTTTTAAACAAATGTGTCAATTATTTCTTTATACAAAACAAATTTTGAAGAGCTTTCAAAAGCACTATAACAACTTTGTATAAATGCGCCAGTAAGACGCTGTTCTGCAAGAAAAAAATTGATTAACATTACCAACTTCTTGTTGTTCCCAAAAATTCCAAGACCTAAACAATATAGTTCATTTCTAACTGCACTTAACCAGTTTGTACAATTTTCCTATTGTTCTTCATACTGATTCAATTCAATTCTTTATTCACTCAAAACCAGATCACTGGTACATGAGGTACATATACACATATATACAAACAAAAATTACAGTCAAGGGTCAAAAAATAGACAAGTATATAAAGAAAAAAGAAAAGAAAGTAAACATGTAATCAGTTATATATATGGAGGATTCAAGAAGTACAGACAGTTTTGAAGATTTTCTTAATAAATTTTGACAATGATTTTTGTATTTCTACATTATTTGTGTTCATTAGTTCATTAAATTTGAAAGTGTTAGGATTTTTACAATATCTATTTTGGAGAAATATTTTTCTGTCATTCGAAAAGAACTTGCATTCCATAACATAATGAAATTCATCACCAATAGTTTTACAATCACAAATGGTACATATTCTTAAATTTCTATCAATATTATTCCATCTACCTGTTTCAATTGGCAAATGATGATTACACGTTCGTAGTTTTGTAAGTGTATCTCTTAAATCTTTTGGTAAATTCAGCAGATAATTTTCGAAACCAAAGTTTGTTTTAAAAATTCTATAATTAATACACTTGGGTGAACTATCCACAATGCTTCTCCATTCTTGTTCAAATTGATTGTTTAGGATATCTTTAATAATTGACTTAAGCCAGTTTAAACTCTGAAATGATTGACTTGTCCATATATAAGACAATCCACAAGAATTAAGCACATCTTGTACACATTTTATCCATGGATGTACAAACGACCCATCGATATAACACCTATAAAATATGAATAAATCACATTTGTAAGCTTACTTTCATGGGCTGTTAAAATTTTTGCCCAGTACATAACCATTTTTAATTTTGTAAATAATGACAGTGGATATCTACCTGTTTCTCCATACACCATACAATTTGGGGTACTAGATTTAAGATTAAGAATAAATTTCAGGAATTTTAAGTGCACTTTTTCTATTATGTCTAAGTTTTCATATCCCAAGACTTCACAAGAATAAAGTAAAATTGGGTTGATGACTTTATTAAACAAGTCTAGCTGACAATTAATTGGTAAATTAAAATAGCGAATTTTACGTAAGACTCCATACATTGCTTTTGAAGCTTGTTCTGCTAAATGTTTTTTTGCATTATTAAACTTTCCACTTCTTGACAGGAATAAACCCAAGTAACAGAATTCTCTCACATTTTCAATAGCCACACCATTATATAAAAATTTACGTTTTGCCATCGGACCTTTAGAAAATATAAGGACTTTTGTTTTGGCTATGTTAACACGGAGTTTCCATAAATCACAGTATTCAGCAAACACATCAAGAGACTTTTGTAAATCAGAAGCCGATTCGGACATTAAGACCGTATCAGCAGCATAAAAAAGTATACATAGTTTCAACATAACAAACATGTCATCTTGCATTTGTTGACTCGGACATGTAAAGCCATTTATTTGATTTCTGGTTAAATAATCCTCTAGGTCATTAATGAACAATGAAAATAAAAAAGGTGATAAATTTTCCCCTTGTCTTACACCGACATTACACATAAAAAAATGTGATAAGTGTTGACCTATTTGTACTTTTGATTTAATACCCTTATACATGTTTCTAATAAATCTGAAACATTTTCCATCAATTCCACTTTGTAAAATTTTAGTCCATAGACCATGTCTCCAGATCGTATCAAAAGCTTGCTTGAAATCTACAAAGGCACAGAATAACTTCTTTTTATTATTCAGGACATATTTGCTCAGAAAATCAATAACAAATATGTTGTCAGTAGTAGAGTAACTCACATGTCTGCAGAATGCAATTATTTGTATTAAAGACCCAATTTTTTTACCGTACGGTTACCTGAGGAGGGGGAGTGGTCTTGGTAGTACTGATGTTATTTACCTGGAGAGCCCCAATACTTAAGATGTCAAAAATCCCTATACACGCTGCATTACACAGGAAGTCCGGCTTTTGATAATCAGGGTCAACATTACGCGTTTTGTGCACAATTTTGAGTGAAAATATTTAAATAAATTATGTACTGAAATATAAAATTTGTAGACTTAGCGTTTTCGTCGATATCTTTTGAAAAAAAAAAAAAATAAAAGACATATCTTTTTTAACAATCGTAAAATTAAAAAAAAAAACGCGTGAAAACTATAAAGCAATCATATCAATATTTTAATCGCCAATAAAAAGAAATCATTATAAAATATTAAGTGTGAATATTGAAATAAAAGATTCCACTTATTGTGTGGACATTTGCCACGATCGGAATATTATTTACTTTTCTGACGAACAATGGCAAATTACAACCAGTATATCAGAATATGAAGTTTTCTTTGAACATACATTGGACATCTACCAAATTCGAAATAAACCATTAAGTTATTTGTAGATTTTCGAAGCAACATAATTTTCTTCAAAAAGTTAATATGTACTTGCTCAACATGTAAAATATACAGCATTTTAAATACACATTATGACCACCTTAGACCCACAGTTGAACGCAGGTCCCATGGTTCAAGGATTTCTCAAATTTGGTAGGCAGATTATTCCTCACAAAAAAACTTTAACCTTGGTCATAACTTTTGAATGAGAGGAGACATTAAGGCTTTAATATTTCACACGTGCATTACCTGTGACAAGACCTTTCTGAACATACTATAAATTTACTAATTTAGATTATATGACCTTGAGGTCTCTGGTCGAGCCTCTTTATTGTAAACCACTCATTTCTTCCTCGAAAATTGGGTTATAAATGTGGGATAAATCCAGAGACTTACGAGTATTCCTTTCTGAGGTCTCAGGTTTTATCCTTCATTTATAACCCAACCGGAAGTCAATGTATCCGATTCGAAGTCTTATTTTGTATCGAGATAATTTTCGAGGAAGAAATGAGTGGGTTTACAATAAAGAGGCTCGACCAGAGACGTCCGAAACGATTATTATTTGACAAGAAAAAAGTCTCTCGAAGCGAACGGTGTCATTTTAAAGTAGGTTAATGATTGATATATAAACAAAATACGAGCTTGAAGCGGGGGTGCCTGAAATTGAGTTAGGTACCTTGTGGTAAAAATAAGTAGGGGTGCCCCGTATACGAAACAAGTGCCTCTGCTTGGTAGTACGGTAGTCAGGACTCTCATATTTTCTCTTGTGCAATACATGTGAAAAAACATAGCCTTTATGAATGCAAATGCACTTTGATTTTTCTCAAGACCTTGAAGTCTGAGCTTCAAAAACTTTGATCTTGGCCATGATTTACTGCACTAGAACATGTTACATCTTCAAAAATATTTTAAGAGGATGAAGGACACTTACACATAACTCAGTTTAACTACGTCACAATCTATAATAATATAAGGGCAAACATGATTTAAACCATTGGTACTAATGTATAAAATGTCAGTTTGTTTTACTTCACTATATATACGATCTGTTAGTACATGTACTTCCATGGTGAATACAGGGGAAGTATTATATAATTACGTAAATTTCTTAAATGCAGATCTTAATCAGCACATGGTAGGGTATTTTGTGACACAGGGAACACAAAAATTATTTTTGTATGGTTGTTGACAGAATATCTTATTTCATACAGTTGGTTTTCCCGTACTCGAGAAATGTAAGCATGACACTTTTTTTTCATACTTAGGTATATATGTCTTGTTTAACTATGTCCTATGCAATATTAAGGTAAGTTTCACTTTTCGATATTTTTACAGTGAATCAATGAAATAGCGAACTAATTTTTCAAATATTGAATGATAGATTTTTTTTCAAATGAAGTTTTTGTTGTTGAAGTTATCTTAAAAAGTACCTTGACGCAATTTACCCTATCCAGATGCAGTGAAATAAAAGAAACATTTCTTTTTAATTTAATCATTATTCATACTCTGACTTTTCATATATATATATGCTTAAAGATTCCCATTAAGGACAGAATAATGGGTCCGTAAACATGGAGAAACAGAATTCCATGTATAGACTCTTTAGGGCATGGTATTTGTCAATCAATATCTCTAAAATAATGTAAGAAACCTTATGATATAACTGTTACAAAATATGTGGAACATATATTAAATGAGCAAAATATGAAAAAAAAAAAAAAATGAATGACAGAATTATTCAGCTCAAGGTCTTCCTTCACCTTAAAAGATAGTATAATGGACAGACAAGACAATTTTTAAATTCAATATGTCAGAGCTAGTTCGCTTAACTTCGCTCAGCTCATGGCTAGGATTCTACTTATTTTTACTTTATTTCTCGTTTATTGATAAAACGGCCGACTCCTGTGGCCTATTGGCAAAAACTGGTATATGTCACCACATAAACATAATTTCCGAATAAAAATTCTACTCAAAATACATATACTAGAAATACGCAGTAGAATTCATCTTAGAAATAATTTATCAAACCGGAAGAAGTTTAGGTTGCAGGTCGTGTTTTATTTTTCACACGGAAGTAACGTAGGATAGTCAACATGGCGTCTGTAGCAGCATGGAACTTCCTGGCATTTAATTTAATTTTAATTACTCTTCAAGTTCTTGCAGGGTATGTATGTATTACGATCTTTTGAGAGGGTCCACGATATCTATATTTCCATTCACCATTGAAATTATTGTGAGAATCTAAATGAATGACACTGTTAAAAAACACCGGTATTTTCATTGTTTACAGTTATGCACACTTGTAGAATTTTCATTGGATGAAATGTAAAAAGTATTCATTAAGTCATTCTGTACTTAAAAGAAGTCAAACTTGTATTTTCTATCATGTGTTCATCTATTAAAAGTTGTATTTTAAAGAAAAATTTATAAATTTCTCATGACTTTAACCCCCCCTTTTTTTCCCTGTCCCCTTCTAAAGTGACTGCATGCAGCAGCACTGCAGGTGTCGTAACAGTATTTCACTTGAGGTTCACGTCAAATCATGGCTGACGCAAAATAATTCCTGAATCTTCCCTTCCGATTCGGGCATTTTAACACGAGACTGGAGCTGAATTTTTTTATGAGATGAAAAACAATATGTAAACTTCCTATATTGACTAGATTCATTAAAATTTAGGGCGTGCTGAATTTTCTATATACTGTATTTGAGTGGGGAGTGATTAGGTCCTGGACTTGATTTTCAAGCACCTGCTCGACTTCGAGCGAGACAAACTTGCGTGCCTTGCTGGATGGCTATGTATTTTTTGGTACTAAAATCTTTATAAAGAATTGTTTTACAAGATCTGAAAAGGAAACTTCTCAAAAGTTTGTTTTCAATTAATACCATCTACTCAAAGTTGCGCATTTTTGGTAAGAATATATAGCAAAATTTAATACTGTTGTGCAACCTGCAGTAAAAGCAGATTTTATACTTCGAAATATTGTAGTCTATAATTTAAGGTTTAATTTCGTGAGTTTAGACGGAAAATGAGAAATAATGGCATTTTTTGACCGTCATTGCTGTTCGTTCGCGTTTAATGGAGCATAGAAAATTAGTCCAGATTTCCTCTAAAATAATTTATCTTGACCACACAAGGGCCTGATTTCGATGTATCGGGTTGAGAGAAATGCATGAAAATTAGAGGACACTTTAACAAATACCTTGCCATCACACTCGTTAACATTATTTACTCATAAACAATTTCAAAATCTATCAATTTAAAGAATTTAGACTAAACCCGGAGCAAAATAAAAATTCTGAATATATGTAAATATCCGTTAATTTGGAACACAGTGGTAACAGATAAAGAAATCTAGATCGTAAAAAGAATTATTTAGGCAAAACAATCGTAATTAAGCAGAAAAGGCCATGATATTTCAATAATATTTATTATTTCAATGCTCTTTTTAACCCCACCCCCCTTCCTTATGACAAAGACTACTTCTTTCGCCCTGTTATAAAAAGCAAACATATTTTAAATAATTTTTAATCCTTATGTGAATCAGTATGCATTAATTAAAAATCTGAGACCAAAAAACAACAAAAGTTCAACGCGCAAGATCATTACATACAGTTCAACTTTTGCCATATTTTTAGAAATCCGTGTTCACCGCGAACACCCCTGTCACCGAGTGTCGCCAATATTTTTCCTACCTTGAGACGGATTTTTATGAAACTTGCTTTATTACATTGAATATTCATTACAGATCGGGAAAATAGCATTATACTGGCAAGCAAAAATTTTCACTCTTATTGCAGGTGTCGTAACAGTATTTCACTTGAGGTTCACGTCAAATCATGGCTGACGCAAAATAATTCCTGAATCTTCCCTTCCGATTCGGGCATTTTAACACGAGACTGGAGCTGAATTTTTTTATGAGATGAAAAACAATATGTAAACTTCCTATATTGACTAGATTCATTAAAATTTAGGGCGTGCTGAATTTTCTATATACTGTATTTGAGTGGGGAGTGATTAGGTCCTGGACTTGATTTTCAAGCACCTGCTCGACTTCGAGCGAGACAAACTTGCGTGCCTTGCTGGATGGCTATGTATTTTTTGGTACTAAAATCTTTATAAAGAATTGTTTTACAAGATCTGAAAAGGAAACTTCTCAAAAGTTTGTTTTCAATTAATACCATCTACTCAAAGTTGCGCATTTTTGGTAAGAATATATAGCAAAATTTAATACTGTTGTGCAACCTGCAGTAAAAGCAGATTTTATACTTCGAAATATTGTAGTCTATAATTTAAGGTTTAATTTCGTGAGTTTAGACGGAAAATGAGAAATAATGGCATTTTTTGACCGTCATTGCTGTTCGTTCGCGTTTAATGGAGCATAGAAAATTAGTCCAGATTTCCTCTAAAATAATTTATCTTGACCACACAAGGGCCTGATTTCGATGTATCGGGTTGAGAGAAATGCATGAAAATTAGAGGACACTTTAACAAATACCTTGCCATCACACTCGTTAACATTATTTACTCATAAACAATTTCAAAATCTATCAATTTAAAGAATTTAGACTAAACCCGGAGCAAAATAAAAATTCTGAATATATGTAAATATCCGTTAATTTGGAACACAGTGGTAACAGATAAAGAAATCTAGATCGTAAAAAGAATTATTTAGGCAAAACAATCGTAATTAAGCAGAAAAGGCCATGATATTTCAATAATATTTATTATTTCAATGCTCTTTTTAACCCCACCCCCCTTCCTTATGACAAAGACTACTTCTTTCGCCCTGTTATAAAAAGCAAACATATTTTAAATAATTTTTAATCCTTATGTGAATCAGTATGCATTAATTAAAAATCTGAGACCAAAAAACAACAAAAGTTCAACGCGCAAGATCATTACATACAGTTCAACTTTTGCCATATTTTTAGAAATCCGTGTTCACCGCGAACACCCCTGTCACCGAGTGTCGCCAATATTTTTCCTACCTTGAGACGGATTTTTATGAAACTTGCTTTATTACATTGAATATTCATTACAGATCGGGAAAATAGCATTATACTGGCAAGCAAAAATTTTCACTCTTATTGCAGGTGTCGTAACAGTATTTCACTTGAGGTTCACGTCAAATCATGGCTGACGCAAAATAATTCCTGAATCTTCCCTTCCGATTCGGGCATTTTAACACGAGACTGGAGCTGAATTTTTTTATGAGATGAAAAACAATATGTAAACTTCCTATATTGACTAGATTCATTAAAATTTAGGGCGTGCTGAATTTTCTATATACTGTATTTGAGTGGGGAGTGATTAGGTCCTGGACTTGATTTTCAAGCACCTGCTCGACTTCGAGCGAGACAAACTTGCGTGCCTTGCTGGATGGCTATGTATTTTTTGGTACTAAAATCTTTATAAAGAATTGTTTTACAAGATCTGAAAAGGAAACTTCTCAAAAGTTTGTTTTCAATTAATACCATCTACTCAAAGTTGCGCATTTTTGGTAAGAATATATAGCAAAATTTAATACTGTTGTGCAACCTGCAGTAAAAGCAGATTTTATACTTCGAAATATTGTAGTCTATAATTTAAGGTTTAATTTCGTGAGTTTAGACGGAAAATGAGAAATAATGGCATTTTTTGACCGTCATTGCTGTTCGTTCGCGTTTAATGGAGCATAGAAAATTAGTCCAGATTTCCTCTAAAATAATTTATCTTGACCACACAAGGGCCTGATTTCGATGTATCGGGTTGAGAGAAATGCATGAAAATTAGAGGACACTTTAACAAATACCTTGCCATCACACTCGTTAACATTATTTACTCATAAACAATTTCAAAATCTATCAATTTAAAGAATTTAGACTAAACCCGGAGCAAAATAAAAATTCTGAATATATGTAAATATCCGTTAATTTGGAACACAGTGGTAACAGATAAAGAAATCTAGATCGTAAAAAGAATTATTTAGGCAAAACAATCGTAATTAAGCAGAAAAGGCCATGATATTTCAATAATATTTATTATTTCAATGCTCTTTTTAACCCCACCCCCCTTCCTTATGACAAAGACTACTTCTTTCGCCCTGTTATAAAAAGCAAACATATTTTAAATAATTTTTAATCCTTATGTGAATCAGTATGCATTAATTAAAAATCTGAGACCAAAAAACAACAAAAGTTCAACGCGCAAGATCATTACATACAGTTCAACTTTTGCCATATTTTTAGAAATCCGTGTTCACCGCGAACACCCCTGTCACCGAGTGTCGCCAATATTTTTCCTACCTTGAGACGGATTTTTATGAAACTTGCTTTATTACATTGAATATTCATTACAGATCGGGAAAATAGCATTATACTGGCAAGCAAAAATTTTCACTCTTATTGCAGGTGTCGTAACAGTATTTCACTTGAGGTTCACGTCAAATCATGGCTGACGCAAAATAATTCCTGAATCTTCCCTTCCGATTCGGGCATTTTAACACGAGACTGGAGCTGAATTTTTTTATGAGATGAAAAACAATATGTAAACTTCCTATATTGACTAGATTCATTAAAATTTAGGGCGTGCTGAATTTTCTATATACTGTATTTGAGTGGGGAGTGATTAGGTCCTGGACTTGATTTTCAAGCACCTGCTCGACTTCGAGCGAGACAAACTTGCGTGCCTTGCTGGATGGCTATGTATTTTTTGGTACTAAAATCTTTATAAAGAATTGTTTTACAAGATCTGAAAAGGAAACTTCTCAAAAGTTTGTTTTCAATTAATACCATCTACTCAAAGTTGCGCATTTTTGGTAAGAATATATAGCAAAATTTAATACTGTTGTGCAACCTGCACCCTAGGATGATTTTTCAAAACTCAGTCACATTTTATAAGGTACATGTATATTTATTTGAAACAATCAGAATGTTTATATTTTTTATGTATAAAATAAATTAAAATCATATACAACTTAAACTAAAATGAAAATTCAGTGACTTTGAAATTAAAACCAATGTGAATTGAACCAACATAGAAAATTGTGAAAATTTACACACGTGGAATTAAAGACTTTTACACCAAGACAATTTTATGGATATGAACATCTTTGTTAGCCAATTCAGTCCTATAATCTTCTGGAGTTGAGGAAATATGCATGATTCAATGCTTAAGAGTCTGATTTAATATAACTCCTCATCTCCTTGAGATGTGAAGATATAAATTGGACACTTGGATAGCAAAGATGAAAGATGAGGGGATACAATTAGAACATATGGCTAGTGAGGATGGATTATGAAGAGATAACTTTAACAGAGTTTTGAAATTGAATTGTTATGTCCACAGTTTTGAATATATTTCATGAAAGTATTAAAATTTCAAAATATATTTGTCGTTGATGTTTGTTGATAAACAAGTTTTTGACTCTTACATAGAGATATGTATATATAGTAAGAGCATGTCAACAGAGAAAGCTTTCATGATTATTTATCATCTTTAAACATTGACTTGCACTGTTCCAATAAATTGGTCAAAATTGATGTAAGGTTATGATTTGTGTCAAATAACCAAAATGGTCTTTAATTTCATTGTTACTTAAATTAAATATGTTCTGCTCATTCTTTTAAATTTTGTAAATTTTGAAATTTTTTGAATCACCTTTATTTTACTATGAGAAAAGAAAAAGAAATCATTTCTTTGCCAAATTTCTTGTACGAAAATATATGAATAGATATGGACTAACAACAGATAGTATATGATACTTTTTAAAGAACGCAACTGCATTACATGTAAATTTAGTTTTAAGGCATAAATTTCTGAGACTGAAATAGTTGAAACAACAGGGTTTTAAGTCAAGGACCAAAATACAACTTTCTTTAATCTACAAATTACTAGGAACTAAAATATTACTTAGGTGGGTGGTGTGGTACATGGAATTCTTGTTGTTGTTTTTTTTTTTTTTGTTTCAATAGTTGTGACCTGTTTTTTTTTCTTTCTTTGTTTCAGTAACAGTCATGTGTGTACATGTATTTAGTTTGAAAAGAATTGCTTTAATTTCATAGTAAATATATATTTTTTTAGCAGTCTGTAGTTGTACTGAAAATAATAAAATCTTATTTAATTTATAAATCTTTCTCTATTGTAGTCGAGACTTTTATAAAATATTAGGAGTATCAAAAAATGCCAAACTCAATCAGATTAAGAAAGCCTATAGAACTTTGGCCAAGGAACTGCATCCAGACAAAAATCCAGGTGATGAGGAAGCCAACAAGAGGTTCCAGGACCTGGGGGCTGCTTATGAAGTAAGATTAAATAGTATATGTGAAATTTTTTACATTTATATTAGATTTCCAATTTTTGTGTTATCTTGACCACTTTACATCTCTATTGATTTTTCTGTTGCTGATGGCAATGATGAGAAATGACTATCAATTGAGAAATCATAATTTGCAGGTTTTATCAGATTCAGAAAAAAGAAAGATTTATGACAAACATGGAGAAGAGGGTTTGAGTAAGGGGGATGTAGGAGGAGATCCATTTTCCAGGTAAATGATTTAATTTTTTTTCTTCTGTAGTTATGTGTAGCCTTTTTAAATGACAGGTTTTTTGTTTGGCATTTAAAAGAATAATGGATTTTTTTTTTCAGTTTCTTTGGAGATTTTAGTTTCTTTGGGGGTGGAGGAGGAGGCAGAGACCGGGAGATCCCCCGGGGTGGGGATATTGTGATGGACTTGGATGTCACTCTGGAGGAATTATACAGTGGAAACTTTGTAGAAGTATGTTTTGAAAATATATGCAAAATGTTTTAGTTCTATACTACCACTCATCCATCTATGCAGGTTTTCTGGTTTAGGACCATCTAAGCAATCGTACAAATACAAAATTGTACAACGATATAGATATAGTCATTTAATTGACAAATAGTTAAAAAATATATGTATATTAATACTCCATTTGACCCTAGTATTACATAAATTTCAGATTGTTCCATTGTAGGGATAAAGGCACAATTTTTCGGTATACATGTACTGGTACATGTATATCGTGATATATTGCAATACAAAATTTTTTGGTGATTCCCATCCCAATTCCATTGCAAAACTATTATTTGAAAGAATTGTTTACAGTGAGCATTGACCAGCTTGCTTCTTTATTCAGCTCTACTTGTATTAGAAATAGTAATGATTAAAAGGTAGCCACCGTTCTCTGTACTGTAGGTTGTTCGATATAAACCAGTTGCCAAACCAGCAAAGGGAACCAGGAAGTGTAACTGCCGGACAGAAATGGTCACTCAACAACTTGGACCGGGACGGTTCCAGATGACCCAGCAGCAAGTCTGTGATGATTGTCCAAATGTAAAGTAGGTTTTCTTTAGATACTTTAAACTCTTAGACTTAGTATGAAATAATTCAAGTAGAATTCAGGGTTCGACACTAACGGTGGACCGGCAGCCCGAGTCCACCAAAAAATTGGAAGGTCCACCAAATGTTCTGGACTAGGTGGACCATCGGTCCACTTAAAATTTAAATACTGTATTGAAAAATACACAGTCAAATTCCGGGTTATTTTTTCTATAAACTGACATCCGTAAATCAAACAATTAATTCATCCATACTTGTATTTTACAATAAATAGATATGGTAAAATTTGTTTTAGGTAAATATTTAGCTGAGTGTATATTTTACATGTTATATTGATGACTACAATAACAATAACATTAAGACGCAAGAACATTCAACACGGACCTTGAAAAAGAAGCATGTAAAATTCGTGCCAAATAAGTCAGTCTGTCCTTTGTTTATTTAATGCACAGAAAAGGTGTGAAAATGTACCCTGGGTAACAGGAAATCACTTCACGTCTGAACGCACACTGACGTCCAGGTTTGGAGATAATTAGAATTGATTGACAGTTGCATTTATGCATGTATTTTTTTTTTTTTTTAGATCTTCAAACAGGCATGATTTATATTTTATGAACACATTATCTGCAATTTCTTCTTTTTTTTCCTGCTATACATTTAATCACAAAAAAGAATCAGATGATTGCAGTTTATTTGAATAAATTATTAAAAATTAATAAATAAATAAATATACTTTTGTCGTTTTGCATTGTAGTAAAAATTGTTCAAGCCATAGATACATGAAAAATTCACTTGTTTATATGTACAACTTAATTGTTGGGATTTTAAATTTTATCTACCGTTGGAAGCAAAATAAATGCTGGTTTTTACCATTGTAAATAAATGATATTAAATTTAAAATAACAATTTTTTTTAATATATAAATTGTGTTCTATTTTAAAAATATTGAAATTTTTTTTGAAAAACTAATTGATTTGTTTCACTTGACCAGTTAAACATATACTTTATTAGTCTGACTGGACTGGGTACATATGTTAACTAGTTTCAAGCCTTGTGTAATGAATTCATTCATTAATTCAAACATTTATGAAGGCCCACCAGAATTTGAGAAGGTCCACCAATAATTTTTCACAAGTGGACCTGCGGTCCACCAAGGTTAAAAAGTTAGTGTCGAACCCTGGAATTCATACAAATAAACACTATTATTTTGCACATGTAATGCTTGAAGTTAGATTCTTGCTTCATTTAAACTTGTATAAATGGCAGTTTTGGTTTCATTTGGCAAAAATCTGCAAGTATGATGATCCTCTTGAGATATGAAATCTTTACATGCTGATATATATATATATATATATATATATATATATATATATATATATATATATATATATATATATACATGTATTACATGCTGTTTTGTAGAATGGTGCCTGAGGAAAAACTTTTGGAAATTGAGATAGAACCTGGTATGAGGGATGGTCAAGAGTACCCATTTGTAGCAGAAGGTAGAGCAAAAGTCATGGTATTTTTTTAAGGCAATTGTGTGATGCCATTCTATTATATATACAGGGATATTTTTAGGTGTATTCTTTTCTTTTCAGGTGAACCTCACATTGATGGGGAACCAGGTGACTTAAGATTTAAAATTAGACAACAAAAGTAAGAGCTTGTAATTTTTATTTGATTTTTAGCTTACAAGAGATGGAGACTGAGGTCAGCTATTCTGATGGAATAGTGTCTGTCTGTCTGTTTGCTGTGTTGTCTACAAACATTCTCCACTTCTTCTCCAGTACAGATGCACCTATTTCAGACTTGACACAAACCATCTTTGGGTAAAAAGGATTCAAGTTTGTTCAAATGTATAGTCAGGCCACATATCAAAGATGCATAAATGAAAACAAATCAAAAATGTGAGGGAAGCTTTTAAAAGCTTCATTATTGAATAGATTATAGTTTCTTCAAATGAAACATCCTAAGATATGGGGAACACAAAAATGGTTGGGGTCAAACTTTTACATAGGAATTTACAAGGAATTTTTATTGTTACAAAAACAGCATTTCAGTTTTATGCAAAGCGAGCTTTCTATGTAGTAAAGATTCAAATTTTTGCAAATTGCAAATTCTGGGGTGGGCTTTTACATTGAAAGATAACTAATATTTAAAAAATCTCTTAACTGGCTACAATGGGTAAACTTCAATTCAAGCCTCAATATAATGTGTATTACAATTTTTAGGTCACCTGAGCTATCTGTTTTGTCTGTCGTTGTGTGCCATGCATTTGAACATTTTCAGCTTCTTCTCTGCAACCCCTGAACCAATTTCATCCAATTTTGGCATAGAATATCTATGAGTGAAGGAGATCAAAGATTTTGAATTTCATGATCCCCCCCCCCCCCCAAACTCTAGGGATGGGTCTAAAACCATCAAAATGAGTGCAATCTTAAAAAAAAAAATTCTTTTTTACTCCTGGACATCAAGCAGTCAACTGTCGGCATGATTGCAATCAGCATTGAGCCCTCTACCATAAATGTGAAATTCATGGCCCCAGGATCAGGGATCAAAGCTAGGGTGGGACTGTAATGATCATATAGTGAAAATGCATAAATTCTTTACAAATATTCTTCTCTCCCCATTTATATAAAGCAGAAAAACCAGGTGTATGGCTATGATGATCAAGGGTGCCTCTTCCAAAATAATTATTGTGAAATTTGTGGCCCTGGGGTCAGGGGTTCTGCTTGAAAGGGGGGGGGGCTCTATGGATTATATAGTAAAAGTGCATTATTTCTTAGAAAATCTTCTTTGCCCCTAGATTTTAGTAGATGAACCAAGTATATAGTTATGATGAGCGTCTTCCAAAATTGTGAAATTTATGGCCCCAGAGTCAGTGGTTCATGTCTGTGTGTGTGGGGGGGATCTATTGAATATATAGTGGTAATGCATTATTTTTTTGTTGAAAATTATCTTCTCTGCCCATGGGTATGTAATAGAAAAACTAATTGCATGGTTATAATGAGCAAGGATGACTTTTCAAAAAGTTTGAAATTCATAAACCTGTGTCGGGTTTTGGTGTTAGGGTAATTCTCTTTTGAATATATAGTAGAAATAGTCATGCCCATGCCTGACCGGGATAGTGACAAACATGGAAAGTACTGGCAAATAAATAGATCAACTTTAAGATTTGTTACTGAGTATTGAATTAATGTTTTGCTGATCCCTGATAATCCTATTTTTCTTGCTTTTGAGCAACATAACTTCATTTATCAGCTTATTTTATTTTAATCTGTGAATCGTTACATTATACTCACGTGACCGCTAAGGCCCTTGGGCCTCTTGTTAAAATCGGAGACTTTTAGTTGATTACCATAAAAAAGTTCAATTATTTTAATACCTTTTCTTAGGAAGATAAAGTTACTGAGTAGGACTATGGCCCATGGACTGCTTTTTATTTGATTTTTTTTTTGGGGGGGGGGGGGGGAGCTTTTGGAGTGATTAACAAACAGAATTATATTTTCATTCATGCTTCTGATGAATATTTTCTAAGCGATAAAATTTTGTCAGCATTATTTTTTACTTCATTTCTTTTTACAGACATAGAAGATTTGAGAGAAAGGGAGATGATTTGTATACAAATGTAACTATTTCTCTCAAAGATGCCCTTATTGGATTTGAAATGGATATTAAACATTTAGACGGCCATTTGGTAAGATTTCATTTTAACTGAAACATCTGCATGAGTTTAGTCTTAAGTTTAAATTCAATTTAAAAATGATAAATTTTTGATTTTTTTGATAAAATATATCTGAGATGTTAATAACACCTGGTAGGTACATGTTGTTCGAGATAAAATAACATGGCCAGGGGCCCGCATGAGGAAGGCAGGGGAGGGCATGCCAAACTATGAAAACAATAATGTGAAAGGACAGCTGTTTATAACATTTGATATAGAGTTTCCCAAAGGCACCCTTACAGAGGAGGATAAAGAAGGTAAGAATTCTCACACACTGAAATGTTCATAGTTTACTGAACATTGGAACAGATATACTAAAAAGAAAACAAAACTACACAGGATATATCCATATTGATATTGTGTAGATTTGTAGTGGGGAATTACTAGCAGGGTATATACTTTATTCATTACTTTGGTTCAAAAGAAAATAGAAATACATGTAGCAGAAAATTGTCTGTCACTTGATCCTTAAATCCCTTTTTATTTTGGTCATTAATCTTCACATGTTTTTTTTTTTTTCAGCTTTAATTAAGATTTTAAAACAAGATTCCAAGCAAGTGGTATACAATGGACTTCAAGCAAGCATGTTTGCATGATGAAAGTGCAATGTAGGATGAAATTGTTGTACATGTATTTTTAAAAACAAGTCATGTATATGTTAAACATAACTTATATTCAACGAAAATGGGATGTATTTGAATGCTTTGTAATCACACTCTAATTATTTCTCTATCTACAAATTCTAAGATGACTATTTTGATATTGTAAATTTGTGTCATATTGTAGATTTTTTGGAGTATGTTCTTGAATTTTTTCAAATATTCCCAACTTAAAAGGTGCAAATATTGCAGTGTTATTGTTAGGTTAGCCATCATGAAAAATAATATAGTAAAGTTTAGATGATGAACTGGGTAATAATGGACATGAAGGTTCACCTAAAATGTTTATTACTGTGTTTTTGTTATATTCAATCCAATGTTTATTGACCACAAACTCAGTATAATTTATATGTTGTATTGAAGCAGGTTCTGTGTAAAAATAGCACGAATGAGATAAAAAAAAACAACTACAGATGTCTTAATTCTATCGCTTTATGATTGTTTGTCTTTTCTTGTATTACTAGAATTCTTTCTTTATAAGATGCTTTGTCACAAGAAATTTATTTATTTTTTCTTAGCTAAGCAATCAAAACTGCAATTTGGTAATTTCATACTTTATATTAAGTTGTGTCTTTCTGTATCACAAAGAGATCAAATTCTATCTGTCTCCTTCTTAATGTCTGAGTAAGAATATTTTCGTTTGTGTGTGAATGCAATGATTTGTTAATTGTCAGTCTGAGGAATGATTGTGTTTCTGGTACAAAATTTATGATATTTTTTATTAATTCATGAAACTTACTCAGGGTGCATAACTCATTGATTTGATTTTGTAACAGTGCACGGGGAGGTAAATTTCAACCAATACCCAATTTCTGGATAATTTATGGCAATGTGAATTTTGACAATGGCAATGGATACTTGAAGTATGTAAACATGTAATAGTATGGTATGATAATTAACTCTGCTGCATGTTTCATTGCAATCTCCTGTATATACAGTTTTACAGTAAATTGATAGAATAAGATGTCAACAAATTGTTCACTACCCAGAAAGGGTAAGATACATTCATGTACTATATTTTAATTGTTATAATATACATGTATATAAACTTCTCATACTTTAAGAATATGAATAGTTGCTGTTGTTTTCCAGGTTCAGTAAACCAGAAATGTCCATAAATTCAAATTTTAGTGACTACCTGTGTGTGTATGCATTTAGAAACAAAAATCAAAACTTATTTTTAGCTGATTTATAAAAGATTTGATACATTATCTTAAAAAAAAAGATCTGTTGTTTTAAATCAAGATTTCAGTTTAAAACATATACATTATATTCAGATGTCCATTTTAGCCCTATTTAAATAATTTGTTAACTATATAGGGTATCTTGGAAGTTTTATTTTTTGGTAAAGATAATTCTACCATTGATTTCAGTTTCGTGATATCATAACTTCATGAGGGTGTATGTACTGACAATGTACGTAGTGAAGTGAAAATGTATGTAGTGATGTGAAAATGTGAGGTACAAGAGTTGTTTTCCTTTGTAGGAACTGATACTAAAGGTGGATACATTTAAGACTAAGAAATCTCTGTGCTGTATTTATAAGGCTTGTAAAATGAAATGAGGATCTCAATACTTTGGTTTTTTTTTGGTTTTTTTTTTTTCTGACAGTCAGATTCATTAACAAAATTGAAATGAATGGTTTTAGTCATGAAACAGCTACAAATTCGGATAAAACAGTAAAAGAAAAATTTCAGTTATTTTGAAATTTGCCATAACATCTCTGAATATAAGGTAATATTAGAAAGGTTACCAGGAGAGTTTCCTCAGATCCTTGTGTAGCGATCTATGTGAGCGGATCAAAGGATCTGATTTTAATCAGATTGCATGTGAAAATACATGTACATCAATTCTTTGAAAAGCATCTTCTTTGCTCCTAGGTATTCAACTGACAAAGTAAGTGTATAGTTTTGATGAACAAGAGTGATTCTTCCAAAAATTTGGAATCCGTGGCTCCTGGGTCAGGAGTTCTGAAGTTAGGATGCCAGAATGGGGCTCTATATATCATAGGAAAAAATGCATTGTTCTTTGATAATCATCTCTGCTTCTGGGTATTAAGCAGACAAACTAAGTGCCTGATTATAACAAACAGGAGTGCTTTTCCCAAACGTGTATACTTATGATGAGCAAAGACGCCTTTTCCAAAATTTGAAATGCATGCCCCCTGGGTCAGGGGTTCTGGAGTTAAGGCAGGGCTCTATAGATCATATAGTAAAAATGCTTAATTCTTTGAAAGTCTTCTTTGCTCCTGGATATAAAGCAGACAATTTAAGTGCATGGTTATGATAAGCAAGGGTGCCTATTCCGGTGCTCCCTCTCCATGGCACTTAATCTCACCTCTGATTTTTTTTTAGAGGTCCATGTTGTGCTCCTGATTTGAATTGTTTCAATGGACTTTGAGCTTCTCTACCACATCGGTCTATATGGCCGATAGCGTGTTAAAACACGACTTCGCGAAAACAGGATCTCTGTATCTTTTTTATGTTATCATTAGGTCACCTGAGTCAATGTTATCATTAGGTGACCTATCGCTATCCGTTCTCGTCCGTCGTCGTGCGTCATGTGTTAACATTTGAACATTTTTAGCTTCTCTGAAACCGCTTAACCAATTTCAACCAAATTTGGCATATAGCGTCTATGGGTGAAGGGGAACAAAAATTGTGAATTTCATGGTCCCTGCCCCCCTGGGGCCTGAGGAGTGGGGCTAAAACCACCAAAAATAATGCAATCTTTAAAAATCTTCTTCTTTACTCCTGGACATCAAGCAGTCAAACTGTTGGCATCATTGTAATAAGCATTGAGCCCTCTACCAAAATTGTGAAATTCATGGCCCCAGGGTCAGGGGTTCTGGTGCTAGGGTGGGGCTATATAGATCATATAGTGAAAATACATTATTTCTTTGAAAATCTTCTTCTCTGCTCCTGGGTATTAAATAAAGTAACTAAGTACATAGTTATGAAGAGCAAGAGTACCTCTTCCAAAATTGTGAAATTCATGGACCCAGGGTCAGGGTTTCTGGTGTTAGGGCGGGGCTCTATTGATTTTATAGTGAAAATACATTAATTCTTTGGAAATCTTCTTCTCTGCCCCTGGGTATTAAATAAAGTAACTAAGTATATAGTTATGATGAGCAAGAGTGCCTCTTCCAAAATTGTGAAATTCATGGCCCCAGGGTCAGGTGTTCTGGTGTTAGGATGGGGCTCTATTGCATAATTATATAGTGAAAATGCATTAATTTTTTGAAAATCTTTTCTGCTCCTGGTTATTATATAAAGTAAGTAAGTACATAGTTATGATCAGCAAGAGTTTCTCTTCATAAATTATGAATTTCATGGCCCCAGGGTTAGGGGTTCTGGTGTTAGGGCGGGGCTCTATTGATTATATAGTGAAAATGCATTAATTCTTTGAAAATCTTCTTCTCTGCTCCTGGGTATTATATAAAGTAACTAAGTACATAGTTATGATGAGCAAGGGTGCCTCTTCCAAAATTGTGAATTTCATGGCCCCAGGGTCTGGGGTTCTGGTGTTAGGGCGGGGCTCTATTGACTGTATAGTGAAAATGCATTAATTCTTTGAAAAACTTCTTCCCTGCTCCTGGATATTAAATAAACTAAGAACATAGTTATGATGAGCAAGAGTGCCTCTTTCAAAATTGTGAATTTTATGGCCCCTGGGTCAGGGGTTCTGGAGATAGGGCGGGGCTCTATTGATTTTATAGTGAAAATGCATTAATTCTTTGAAAATCTTCTTCCCTGCTCCTGGATATTAAATAAACTAAGAACATAGTTATGATGAGCAAGAGTGCCTCTTCCAAAATTGTGAATTTTATGTCCCCAGGGTCAGGGGTTCTGGTGTTAGGGCGGGGCTCTATGATTAAAAAGTAAAATTGCATTAGTTCTTTGAAAATCTTCTTCTCTGCTCCTGGGTATTAAATAAAGTAACTAAGTACATAGTCATTAAGAGCAAGAGTGCCTCTTCCAAAATTGTGAAATTCATTGCCCAAGGGTCAGGGGTTCTGGTGTTAGGGCAATACAGCCCCAGTGAAAATACATTAATTGTTTGAAAATCTTCTTCTCTGCTCCTGGGTATTAAATAAAGTAACTAAGGGTAAGGCCCCTGGGTCAGGGGTTTTGGTGTTCAGGGGTTCTGGTGTTGGGGCGGGACTCTATTGATTATATAGTAAAATTGCATTAATTTTTTGAAAATCTTCTTCTCTGCTCCTGGGTGTTAAATAAAGTAAGTACATAGTTATGATCAGCAAGAGTGTCTCTTCCAAAATTGTGAAATTCATGGCCCCAGGGTCAGGGGTTCTAGTGTTAGGGCGGGGCTCTATTGATTATATAGTGAAAATACATTAATTCTTTGAAAATCTTCTGCTCTGCGCCTGGATATTAAATAAAATAACTAAGAACATAGTTATGGTGAGCATGCATGGTTGCCTTTTCCGAAATAATGAATTTTATGGCCCGTGGGTCAAGGGTTCTGGTGTTAGGGCGGGGCTCTATTGATTAAATAATAAAATTGCATTAAATCTTAGAAAATCGTCTTCTCTGCTCGTGGATATTAAATAAACTAAGTACATAGTGACGATGAGTTATGATGAGCATGGTTGCCTCTTCCAAAATTATGAATTTTAAGGCCCCTGGGTCAAGGGTTCTGGTGTTAGGGCGGGTCTCTATTGATTATATAGGGAAATTGCATTAATTCTTTCAAAATCTTCTTCTCTGCTCCTTGTATTATTCAAACAAAGGAATTGCATGGTTATGATAAGGAAGAATGCCTCTTCCAAATTGAGAAATTCATGGCCCCTGGGTCAGGGGTTAGGTGAAGGGGGGGGGGGGACTCTATTGATTATATATTGAAAATGCATAATTTCTTTCAAAATTTTTTTTTCTACCACTGGTTATAAAGCAAAGACACAAGTGTATAGTTATGATGAGCAAGGGTGCTTCTTCCTGAATTGTGAGTTCATGGCCCCTGGGTCAGATGTGTTGGTGTAAGGGTGGGGCTTTATTTATTTATTAACATAGTGAAAATGCATTTCTTTGAAATTCTTCTATGCTTCTGGGCATATTCGAGGCAAACAGAGTAGAAGTTTTAATATGCAAAGGTATTTTTACCAGAATTTCGAACACCTGGACCATTTAGTCAAGTGTTCTGGTTCTGCCCAGTGCTCTATTAACTTGTATTCTGCTGAGCAAAGTTATTCCCCTTTACCATTCACCTTTGATAATTAATCACTGTAAACAATGTATTTGAAAGGTTAATAGAATAAGAGAATTATGCAAGAATATTTATTGTAAAATACAAAAAGTACTTTCACAGTTTTAATGATCAGGTAGACTTGGAAATAATAGATGAATAAAATTGAGACAAAAATAACTTATCTTTTTAAATGTTCTTCAAAGGCCAAGAGAGACCAATGTGAAAAGTAATAATATGGGGTTAAAAAAAGACATTTTGTTAGTGATAAATGGGGGACAAATAGATACTAGACCAAATATTTTGTTGATGCAAATCATACTGTATTTCTTGCTTTTGGGCAACAAAGCTTCATTTATCAGTTTTATGGATCCTATAAATTGTTGTATTGTACTCAGGTGACCGTTAAGGCCCTTCGGCCTCTTGTTAAGGTATATAATCTATAAATCATCTTTTAGGAAATTTTCACTAATATTAAACCCTGTAAAAATTAATACTTTATACTTTGGTAAAATCTAGATTTTACGTTTTGAAGACATAAATGACTTTGAAAATGGTGCAAATTTCTGAAGCAAGAACGATTTTCCCGACGATTGGCATATTTTTTTCCTGATTAATTACATAAAGAATATTTGATATATTTAAAAAGCAGGTTTTCTCTGCTTTTAACATATGTAAATATTGTTGTAAAAAAATATGTAAAAATTTGAATCTACACCACCTGAGAATGTGTCCACATTTAAAAAAAGATTCATCTCATATCAAACTTTGATTTTCTATTGTGCCCCCCCCCCCTCCAACGGTCTTGGTAGAGTAAAGCTAAACTTGAGAAACTTTTAATATTTTGCTCTGGAGGAAACTTACTTTATTGCTTTATCTTAATTTACTTAAACAGTTATACAAAGACATACACCATAGGAATTAATATATCATGATATATGATTGCTCGCTTAACTTTAACGTTGAACCCACAAGCGACGCAGTAATTACTTATATGTACTATACATTTGCTTAAAGATACTCTCACATAAAAATGTATTTTTCCCTCATTGTGAGCATTTTTATCTTGAAATCTTCAAAAATCACTGAAATACCTGGCAAAGGTCTCTATGTCATTTTACGCAGAATTTTATCACAGTACCGAGAATGTTGCAAAAGGAGACTGGTGAACAAGGCGCGTGAATACATATAGCTTCAGATATATAAAAATCATAATCAATTTGTGAATTTAGTATTTAGAGTAAAGTTCTCATTGTTGAAATTCATGAAAGTATGACAAACAAAACTTTTCTGAGGAAAATTTTGTTTGGAAAAAATATTTTGTTGTTAAAAAAAATGACTGTGGTATTGGTGGGGCTCGAACACTAGCAA